AATAAAATCATGTTGACTAAAACCAGGAGAGAATCTGAATTCAGTGGCAGACCATCATCCACTTGAACTTCTAGAACGATTTCCTGTGACTGGTTTGGGGACACATAAATCTTTATGGACAGTCTTCAAAGTCTTCCTTACTGATATTCTCTAGACCACAGTTGGCTACTGTCTTTAAAGTATTGCCTTTTTTTTCTGTCTTCTATAGTTATATCTTGAATATTTATTTAAAAACTAGTTCTGTTTATCTCTGCGGCAGTTCATGGCCTTCCTAGTCTGAGGGAGGGAAAGGGCAGCAGACATCAAAATTTCACCTTGTCTGTCAGTGTGGTAACCAGCAGTATATTGATACTGAGACACTAAGACTGGATGGCATTTAAATGTGAATCTATCACCATAAACTCTAGGCTTTTCATGGCTCGTTATTTTGAGGCAAATACCGTAATTAGTACAGGGTGTACTTTATGATAATTAGGAATGTTTTACACATCAGATGGTGATGTTGAATTTTGAGGGCAACCACCTGGACTCGACTCTCTCTAGCTAATATTAATATTTTTGTATTTCTTTTTGTTCAGTGATACAGCATGCCTATGATAGAATATTCTAACTGTTTAACCACTAAATAAGAGAGCCATGCAATCAATTAGCTCAATAGCATGATTTTTAGGATTTTTTTGCTGTTACCCATAGGTCATACTGTAGTTTGTTATACTGTAGTTTCTGCAGTCTAGATATAAAGTGTATGTATATTGTAGTTTATCTTGCGTGTAAAATGAACTATCATAATGTCCAGATAAATGTTACTTTTCAGCTGTCTTGCCTCTTTTCTAGACTTACTCTGAACACTGCTATCCTAAAATCTTGGTATCTGATCCATTTTAGACTCGTCGTCCCTCATGTAATCTGGCTTGTGTGGATTAGCGTTGCTATACCTGAACTCTTCCTTGAATATTTTTTAGTATTAGTTCAGATCCAAACCTAGAGGAGGAGATTATTTTATGATTACAGTGACAATATGAAGGCAATCTCTTAATCAACAGATGTTGATTGAAATATTTTCTATCAGCTTTCTGATAAGAGCCATATTTGAAAGTGGTGCAACTTGAATATTGGTCCTGTTTCCTTCTCAGGCCAACACACTTTACTCTCAAACATAAACCTCATCCTACATATATTTGGGCTAAGGATATTTGTATTTTCAATTCGTGGTTACTAGTTGTTATGAAGTGAACAATCTAAGACTGCAATGAGAAATATTGAGGTTGTAAATACACTTTCAGTGCAGACTGCAGAATGGGTTTTATGAGAAAATGATCTTGCGGTGACATAAACTTGTTATTTCTCATAGAGGAGCAGTTACCCGTTATGCCTATTGTATGAACAAAGAATGAGGCTGCAGTAATGTGAAAGGGTTATACTTCTTTACATAATAATGTGAAATAGTCATACTACTTTACATTTAAAAGATTTCTTATTGGACGGTTGTTAACTTTTATAATTGAATTCTTTAAAAAAAAAAATCCCTTTACTTAAGGTAAGACAGCATCTGCAGTATTGCCTAATTGTAAAAAATGGCAAATGTTTTAAGAGTTCTCTTGTTATGTCTGTGCACCTTGAAAACACCCCTCATTTATGTATGGGATTGAACTGTTCTTTAGCTCATGGAAAAACTTGTGCTCGTTCTTTCCATTGCCCCTCCGTAGTCTTTCCTTTTAATTAAAATAGAAGTGGGGAGGGGGAGGAGAAAATGAAATACAATGGTAAGCGTAAATATTTTTTCACTAAATTGAGACTTCTGCTTATGTTCAAAGTTTATGCCTACTAATACATGCTGCCATGGATTTTAAGTTTCAAAACTGTAGTGAAATGTATGTGTTATTTTTAGGATTAAACCGTATTTTAGTAATTGCTGTATGTTCAATAAATGGCAAGTGCTGCATTTCAGGGGGATGAAATAACCTGTTTCAAACTGGGAAAGATTTTGTGGACATCCATGTATCTATGGAATAATGTTAGATAAATTTAAATGTGTTAATTGTATGATGCCATTACAAATGCTATTTTTGGCTGAAAAGGATCAGTACTTGCCTGTAAAATAAGGAGACATCAGACTATTTTAGCTAGCCTTGGCTGGACTGTTTGGAATGTGGTCTGCGTTTCTTGCATTTGTACTCAAGGAGGATGCAAAGGAAGACTAGAAAAATGAAAAGTTAGACAAAATTATGCAAAGCTTTAAGTAAAAGAAAGGGCAAGATGTACAAATAAACCTGGAGAAAATATGCTATACTTTAGTGGATGTCATCGTATAAATCTTTAAAAAATTGAGTCTGCGCAGTAGTTGTTCTGCAAAGTAACAAAGATGGACATCAAATGCAACCAAAAAAAGGGATGGTCTGCAAGAAGAAAATTGTGGTGTTCGCATGAGGGGAAGAGTCTGGATTACAAGTTTATCCATTTTTTTTTTGCCAGAAAAAACACAATTGGGATGCAAGGTCTAGATACTGCTTCCAGTTTAGACTATTTCTGTATTTAACTCTTACTGAGTATCACTTCATCTGTAAAGCAAGGAATGTTAGTGCTTTTTTTTTTTTCCCCCCCCCTACTTGGTGGCATGAGACTATGCCAAAAAGCGAGTCTAGTGTTCTTCATACCATGGTTCTGTTTATCACAGACAATTTCTGTCATAGAGATCCTTATGACTTGTAGCTTTAAAGGCAAGGCCAAGCATCTTTCTATACTTCCTAAACAGAAGTTACAGACTTGATGCAGAAACTGTTGGGTTATTTGCTTTGATCTGTCTCATTCCAGAAGTTGAGGAAAAATGCGTGAACATTTATAGGCAACTATAAAAGAGCCCCCAAACCTTATAACAGCTCCTTAGTACTGTCTCTCCTGTTCTCAAGCATGATATTGTGGCTACTGCCTAGGGAAGAACAGCTGTGCTCTCACGTATGGCAAGTGTTTTGCTTTTCCCCCTCCTCCATTGCTGTAAAACTAGTGCTCTTATTATGTCAAGGTCCATTGCATTCACTGCAACTTTGATATGCTTGACCTAAAGATATGGCTGTGAGTTATTTGTAGTGACACTGAGGAGCAATTTTCTGGAATGTCTTTCTGGCCCATGGATGCTGGATATCAGTACATATGTATACTATTAACAAGAAACATGAAAATGATTGTGAAACCTCTCCAGTATTTCACAGCTATGATTATGGGGATCATACTGTGGCCTTATAGTGCAAGGAAGGGCATGTGCAAGCCAGTGCCCGTTGTGGTGTGTGGAGTAATGGTAACTTGTTTTGCAAATGAACATTCTGTCTGGAGCAGCAGACTTCTAGGTATTATGTTGTATGAAAAGCGCGAAGCAGATGGTATTTCTCTATCTTGCTATGAAAAGATGATGTCACTAAAAGATTACTAATACAACTTACACTTGGCATCATTAAAATTTCAGAGACCATTTCAGCTGAGAGCCTATTCTTTAGGAATGCATAAAAACCTCCAGTCGAGGTGAAAATACTTGTTTTACCTTTGTAATGGGTGTAGACTGATCCTCTGTGCCCAGGTCGATGCTGATTGAGGTTTCTGTACCCTTCTCTACTAGGGTGTGAATTGTTACTATTTATTTTTTTTTAGTGAGTGTAGGAAACAAAATCAAGATAGAAGCCTTTTAATAAGGCAAACAGTTGTGTATTTTGAGAAGTATTATCTTAGGAAAGGATATAACAAACTTTTTTTTTTTTTTGTTTAAATCCCTCCCCTCTTCCTGTCTGTCTTTCTCCTTCCCCTGCACTGGAATTGGTCTATACTAATTCTCATCATTCAGCTTTTCTCAGTTACAGCTTAAATGGTTTCTGTTGTTCCCCCTGCGCCTGAAGGTGATTTCATGCCGAGATGCTGGTTCTTTCCTGTGTTGTCAAATTCCAGAATCTTCTATTTTGATAAACCTCTTGTCTGTTATAAATGAATAACACATCTATAACTAGCATTAACAAATGCATTGCAGAAACAGAATTTGATCTGTTTTAGCTTGCCATATCTAATCTTGATGAATACTGTTGTCAGAACATCCTCACTAAAACTTAATTTGAAAGTTACTCCTTCTACAGAGAACATAAAACTTTGAGTCCTGCTTTCTATATGATCTTTATCTATTTGCAATATGCAGTTCAGTAGTAATCTAAGTTCCCATTTCTGTAGAAATGACTAAACTTAAAGGTACAGGCTTATCTCTAAACAGTGTTGCTGATAATTCATCCATCCATAGTGTCCTTCCTCTCGATACTTAACTCTGCCCCCTCTGACAGCAGTACAAGCAGTACTCTGCCCCCCCTGCAAGCAGTAGAACCTTGTGGGCTCTTTTCTAGTGAGTTTTGGAATTAAAAAAAAAAACAAAAACAAAAACTTCCCAACTGTGAATTTTAATGTCTAAACGTTTCCAGGATTAATTCAATTTCTTGTTAGCGTGGTTATCTCTTTGAGGAACTCATTTTCTACCCTTCCCCCCCCAAAATCAGTCTTGCATGGTATTCAGGAGAGAGCTCTGTCATGACTAAAATATATTTTTAATCATTTGATTTTTCTGTTAATACAAAGTTGAAGAAGAAACAAATATGGATGTATCTTCCTGTGACAGACTTGATGCTTGTATCCCTATTTAGTTGCTACATGGACAGAACATGGATAAAACAAGGAAGTACAGTAAGAGACCCATTGCATAATTGAGAAGTGTTGAATGTCTTTTGCAAATAATCAGACTAAACTATAATAGATCTCCCTATTATGAGGCGAAACAATAGGAATGACATGTGATTACCTAACTTGGATGTAGTGCCTACTCCTGAATGTTTGACTTACAACCAAGTCTAAAGGCTGAACTTACCTTGGAGAACTGCATGACGTTAGAAATTTAGAATCACCCCTGTATGTGTCTGTGATGAGGTCATAAGGAAATAAGGACAGAGTAGTGTACTCTAAATTTTTATTTTCATATTACTATCAAAAATTCTGAGAATGTGGCATAGGTACCCGAAGTTTACAGTAAGTTTTACAGTTTAACTACTGTTCAATTACTGTTATTATCGGATAGATAGCTCTTTAGTCCTGGTTTATCTCAGAACACAAAGAAGAGTCAAGTCTCAAAAGGTTTGTTTAATAGTGTTTATTACATGCTTTAAAAAAAAAAGCCTCATGTGAAACTAATCCTTTACTTGATGTAATATTTTATCCATATCTTTGAATTCTGGATCCCATTTGTGCTTCTGTCTTAACAAGTGCAGCAAAGGTTTTCTTGTGTACTTGGTTGTAATGCTTAAGATGAGGCTTAAATTTCTTTCCTTCCTATGCTTAGAGTCCTTAGGAGTGTGCCTACAGAAACAGTTCCCCATACTAGCAATCACTTCCATGTATATACTGAACACAGATTCTTATGGCTTGAATGAGTCAGAACTCTGGGGAGTACGTTGTTCTAGAAAGAGGCAGTGATTTTTCCCTGCCCCCCGCCCCCCACCCCAGTTAGCTGACTTAAGCACACTTAAAAACAACAAGCAAAAAAGTGAAAATCCTTGACTACTTTTTGACCAGAAAATATTAGGATATAAGAATCTGCTTCTTGCTACTGCTTTCAGAGATGATGTTCCTCTTAACAGCAACTGTAAAATGTGGGGCCACAGTTGCATTCATTGTTCAGTGAGCTTGTCCACATAGTTAAACCCACCGACAGCAATGAATGTTGATTGTGACCTTTTTTGTAAAGCTTGGCAGGGTGGAGGAGAAACCTCATGTGCTGGTTAGGTTGCTTTCTTCAGTGTTAAGGCCTGAAAGCATGAAGTAAGGAGGAGGATGGTTAGCTGGAGGGTACAATCAACGGTCGATGGTTTTCACTTTAATTCCAAACTCACCGACAGCGTTGAATGTTCACTGAAGCAACCACTACAACAGAACTCCATTGACTTGACAGCATCCTTAAATGTCTGAAAGGAGGGGGGGAAAATCAAAATTGACACAGTGATTTTAATTGTATAGATGATGCAATTTCAGTCATTGTTCTCTTACCAACTCCCTTCTCTGCCCATCCTGTTTCGATCTTCAGGCAAGGAGCTGGCAGTTTTCCAAGCTTCTCTCTGAAAAGAAAAGGTATTTCACTTATTCAGGTTTTAATTATATGTTGGGCATCCCGGCAGAAATGGATTAATGTGCTCAGTTCTGATGTAACAGATGGAACAGAACTTTATAGCAAATCAAAATACAAAATCACATATTTTAACAGAGCTGGCTAAGAATTTTAGAAATTGGTGTTGCCAATTATAGATTGCCCAACTGAGTAAAATCTCCCTTGCTGACATGGTTCAATTGGATTTAAACTTGTTTAGGATTGATGAAAAACTACATTTCCTCTTAAGGCTTAATTTCTTAGTAAACTTGTTAGAGAGACAGAAGACCTTTATTGTCTTACAAATTGTCACACATGCAAGACCTATTATGATAGTTTTCAGAAGGGAGAAGATGAATTCATGTCAAAGTTTGACCTAGTTTCTTTTCATGTATTTTTTTTTGAAGTGGCAGCATGCTGTTTATATCAAGAAATTGATCAACACAGAATAAAGTGCTTATTCTAAAAAAAAAAGCAAAAAAAAAACCCCCAAAACCCCAAAACTTCCACAATAGCATAACACATTTCCAATTTTCTGAACTTTCCAATTATTTGCCCTTTCTTAAAAGGAGGAGGGGAGAATAGATGTAGTGCTGTAATTTTCATGTTATAGAGAAGATATCCCTTCTTGGGGGGAAGAGTTTTAGAGGACAGATTAGGCAGTGAACATGGTAACCTAGGAATCTTACCTTCCTTACTATTTGTAACTGTGAGCCAACTTCTCGCAGATCAGTCTCTTGAAGGCAGTTGGTCTGAATGCTTTTCCTGAGAACCGCGCATAGCTCGCTGCAGTGAAACTGACTGATTCATTGGCTTCTGTGATTGTTCTTTACTAAATATTTTACCAAAGAACAAGGTAGTTTTATACTCTTATTTTTTCATTAATGTATGATTATTTTAAGACTCTTTATAAATGCTCTTTCTTAAAGAGCATAAAGGCAGCCATCACCAAAAGACTGCAAGTCATAAGTGTGCTGCCTGCATAAATTATGTAAAGAAATGCCATGACAAGCACTTTCACCTAGCTGTTTCTTTCAAACTAATTGCTCTGCATGTACAGGCTTTTATTACTTTTTATCATTTAACTCAACTGTATTTTCTGTCAAATGAATCTAAAGGACAGCAAGTTATCAATATATCCTACTGGAGAACTAGACATGGATAAACCACATCTCTCCTTTATAGCGGATCAGACCTATTTTGTTTAGGAATGCCACTGTGATTATGAATGTATCAGACTTCAAAGCAATGTGGTGAACTCCTTTTTGCTGACACAGCAGCACGGGTTATCTGCTGCCGATGGATGCTTCAGCTCTGAAGCTGGATTTTCCATTTGTTTGTACTGGCTTTATCAAAGTAGCTCCATGGATGTTAGGGAAGCAGTTCTGGTTTACACCAGCATGAGCGATGAGAGAATAAAGCTCTTCAGCTCAATGATCTTTTGTATTTATCTGCATGCGTTCAACGTTGTTCTAGCCAAATGAATACACTTTACGGGTTAAGGTCATTCATGTTTACCATCCTCCCTGTTACAAGCTTGCTTTCTGTACAACATTTTTTTTTTTAAAGTATTTATTCCTATGCTTATTCCCTGCTTCCCTCTGTCACTTTATATTTCAATATAGGGTTTTGCC